TTGTTTCTGTTGTCGTTTCTGGTGTGCGTGGTTTCTGATGGTTTTGGTGTTAAAGAAAGGGAAATGGCTGGCTGAGATACAGCTTCTGTTTGGAGACTTAACGGACTTGGTTCCTTGAATGTTTTGCTTTTTTGATTGGAAGATTCCGAGGAAGCTGTTTGGAAATTTTATGATATTCATTCTTCCGTGAAGGAGAATTTTAATGGAAGGCTGTGTAGAATTATGTCCAATGTAGTACAGTGGCCTTCAGTCGTCTAGGCTGGTAAAGGATAAAGGAACCTGCGGTGCGATTTAAACAGAAAATTGGAAGAAACCGCCCAAGTAAGCAAAAAATAAAGGGATACGGCCGACATGACTAATCCGAAATGTCCGCATCATCCGTCAGGTCTAATTTGAAACGTCTTGCACATTCTTCATGACTAGTCACCTTTTCGAGAAATGTCCTTCAAACGCGTCTGAAGTAGTCTAGAATGTCCTTGAACCTAGTCATGTCTTGTCCGTTTTGTCTGTTGATCCCGTCCAGACTAGTCAGAAGACTTAAAGAAAGAAGATGAAAGGTGGATTTGAACATCCAACCCGACAGTATTCGAAACCTGACAGGCATCCTGACGGCAGAATAGGACACTAATATAGACTGCCGTCAGTTTATACAGTCTCAATTACAGATTGACTCATGCCCATCCACTAGACAATCAGAAACCAGTCGATGTCAAACGACTTTGACTAGTCTGACACGTCCTTAATAGTAGTCACGAATAGTCCGAAGTGTCGCCTGCACGCGTGATGACTAATCCTTTTTTTTGAAGAACGTGTCGTCTATTCTAGTCTGAAAAACTCTAGACAACTCACTTTCTTTGGACTAATTTATCTTACTAATTCATTTAAACTAACCAATAATAGAATCAACAATATCATCACCATTAGTATCAACAGAATCACCAACATCAGAATCAACAACACCTCCAGCATCAGATTCAACAACAAAGACAACAATAGGGCCAACATCTGCAACGTCGACAGAAACAAGCACATCACTAACATCAGAATCAACAATATCACCAACATCAGAATCAACAACAGAGACAACGACGCCACCAAAATCTGAAACGTCAACAGAAACAAGCACATCACCAGCATCAGACTCAACAACACTTCCAGCATCGGAATCAACAACAGAAACAACGATACCACCAACATCTGAAACATCAACAGAAGGAAGCACGTCACTAACATCAGAATCAACAATATCACCAACATCAGAATCAACAACAGAGACAACGACACCACCAACATCTGAAACGTCAACAGAAACAAGCACATCACTAACATCCGAATCAACAACACGTCACTAACATCAGAA